TATTTATATATATACGTCAGTTGGTTTGGCGCTGGTTGAGGTGCTTGAGGGCAAGCTGGAAGATTTAGTGGGTACCAGCTTGTTAGTGATCGGCGAGTGCTGGTAAAATTCCAGCAGTGTTTCTCGGGTTCATCAACTGTTGTGATGGTCGCTCGTACCCTTTACCAGGAGGTGCGGGCGGGTAACATGAGTGTGTCGACAACTTCCGTAACGGTGCATTGTGCACCGTTTGAAATGTCAGACGTGCTGTTGTCATAGGTGTTCGGGTGGTGTGGTATGCTGCGTGGCATCCGCTTGAATATGGTGACTTCCGGTTACTGTGCAGGGCTGCTCACTGGTGCACGAACTTTGGTGATGCCCCTGGAGCATCAGGTGCCGTCCTTGGTCTCCGTGATGGGGTTTTCTCTACTATGTATGTATTCGGGCCAACCAAGTAAAGTTTTTGATGTGGATTGACTGGTCACCTGGCAGCAGCGTGCACGATAAGGTTGGCTGACCAGGTTAATCTCTTCAGAGAGAGAAAGATTTCCCTCGTCTTGCTTCCCCAGATGCAACCTTGGGGGCGTTAAGTGTTAGTGGTGACCTGCCTTATGGTCACTCAGATGATGAGCCGGTTCGTCATCGTGTTCTGGATGCGGGCAGGGAGAGGGCTGTGTGCCCGGTACACCCGTAGGTTGCCAGAACATCGGGTGGTGCTTCAGGCTAACTCTCCGATGGAGGGTATTCGTCCCCGTCCCTCCAATTGATGGCCTCAGGATGCGTCACGTGTGGCTGAACTGGTTTCTATGCAGAAGCGCTAGAAGGGCACTGCTAGGGTGCGGTCCCATGGTGGTGAAAACCAAGTGGAGAAGATGGAGGATGTGGTGGCTGCGAAGGAGCAGGGACGGGGGTCAGGTTCCATCCTTGCTGGTACAGCTAGATGGGCTTCTCAGTTCCGATGGCCAGAGATGGGGGGTCGTTGACACTAGTGACAGTGATCATGTGGGACATAATTTAAGGATCGTGTTAAAGAGGGGATCTATCGCCCCTCCTAAGGAGGTTTCGCTCTCCTTGAGCTTCCCCGTTATTACCAGTGCTGTCAGTGATACCCCAGGTGGTGTCCCGGTGTTGTCAGGGCCACCGCCACTCGGTTAATTATCTGTATTTCCCTTTCCCGATGGTTCCCCATTTAATTTGAGCCTTCCTGAACTTTAATTGGCTACGTGGACTCGCGACTCAATTGGGTCTCATCCCGTTGCTTCAGTACCACAACGTCGACGTGGCGTTCGTGCAGTAAAATAATGTGATTGATGTGGGAGTGCTACAGGGTTTAGCTAATGAGTATAAGAACTTGTTAAATCTTACCAGATTGTTGAAAGGGGTTACGCTGGTGCTTATCTCCAAACGGCCTCTGATTTCAGTGCTGCAGATGGAGGTAGATGATGACGATGTTAGAATTTTGTTTGTGCGTTTTTCTACAGAGGTGTTGCATTATCTGCGACATAATACTCTCTCTATGGCCTTAAGGGTGATTTTAGCTGTGTAATGTAGGCGCTTGACTGTAGTAGTCGCCTGCTTTGGGTGACACGCTAGAAGAGTTTTGGATTTCGGGATACGGGCATTATCCACGAGGGGGGCTTTGGATTTTACTTTTGTCTCACGTGTTTCGAGTTCTCAGTTGGATATGTTATATGTTCAGAAGATCGGTGGGGCTGTGCACTCCTTTTGTACGGTCCCGTTTGTTTTCTCTGGTCACTGTACGGTGGTAGTGGAGACTAGGGTTAGGAGTCAGGTACGGGTGGGGAGGCGGTGGTGGAAATTTAATTGTAGTTTGTTGCAGTGTCCCAAGGATCTGGAATTGGTCAGGGTTCGGTGGACTTTGTTGGTGGTTCGCAAACGAAGATTCCCTTGTTTCTTAGACTGGTGGGACTGGACTTGAGGGGAGTGTAAAAGGTTGTTTATTTCTATAGCGAAGCAGAAGTCGTCTGAACGTTGTGGTTTGTTGAATTTGCTACAGGCGTGGTTGACTTGTTTGCATAGCTTGGTGAATAGAGTTTGATAGGTTTGCAGAAATTTTGTTGTGTAAGGAACAGATTCGTGGGTTGCGGGGGGGAGATGGCTGAGGCGGTGCAGGGTCCGTGCTCGAGTAGAGGAAAGATTGTTTGGGGAACAACTTTAGCAGTACTTGCTGTGTAAGTATAAGGAGGACTGTGAGTCGGTTTTGATGACTGGTCTCTATATGAATGGTTCGGTCTTATCGAATACAGATGGTGTGCGCTCCAGTGTTCGACAGGAGCTTGAGGCTCTTTATAGGAGGGTGGGGGAGGATCAGGGTTTAGAGGAGTTTTTTTCTAAGGTTTTGTTCTCATGGGATGTCGTGTTTGGACTGTTAGGGTCTGGAGGGTGTCCCTTTTGTGAGGAGGTGTGAGATGTGGTTCAGTCCTTGCGGAGGGATAAGGTGCCAGGGTCTGATAGGGTGCTGGCGGAGTTTTACATTGCCTGTTGGGATATAATTGGATCAGATTTCTTGGAGGTTGTGCAGTATTGTTTTACGACCGCTCCTTTGACAGGATCCCATTCACTTCACTTCAGGCTTTCTAAGCCTGAAGATTTGCAGTTCTTTTCAAATTGGCACCTGATTACTTTCTATCATATTATTTCTAAGATGTTGGCGACTCGGCTCCGGTAGGTGGTGGGCACCCTCGTGTCTCGGGAACAGTTTTGTGGGGTGCCAGGAAGATCCTTGGTACATTGTAAAAACCTGGTCCAGGATCTGATTGTTTATATGTCAGAGTCTGGGGTCTCAGCGCCATTGATCAATTTGGACTGATCAAAAACTTTCAACCGGGTGCCCATTGATTTTGTCTTATGGGTAATGGAGAGGTTTGGAGTTGTAGCCAGGTTTGTGGGCTGCGTGCGAATGCTGTATCAGGGGTGTAGTAGTCAGGTGAGTGTGAATGGTTTGTTTAGGGGTATGTTTGTCATTGGGCCCTCAGTTGGCAAGGTTGCACTTTGTCGATGCTTTGGGATATTATTTTTCAGGAACTCTTGTTTCGGGCATTGCAGGGTTGTAGTTCAATCGTTTCCCCACGGTTGCCCAATGAGTTTGACCTGCGTTTATGTGGATATGAGGATGTTACGTCTGTTTCTGTTGCTTCGGGGGTTGGTGTACAGGACGTGCTGCACAGCTTTGAGTTGGCCACGGGGGGGGGGGGGCTGTCATAAATTGTCGAAAGTTGTGTATCATGGAGTTAGGGTACTGGGCTGGCACGGAGTCTTGGGAAAGGTCATGGTTGCCAGTGGTGTGGTCTGTCCCCCATGCTTTGAATAACCTGGTTCAATTCTTATTACGAATTATTGCGGTTTAATTGGGCGGCAGTTTCTCGCTCGGTGGCAGCGGTGGCGGTGGGGATGCTGTCAAAGAGAGTCTTGACGATTTTAACAGCAGGCTCTGACTGTGAATTGTAAAGTTCTATCAAAGGTTTGGTATTTACCTTATTGTCTATCTTTGAGCAGGGCCCGTGCTCTGGAGCTGGAGAAGGTGATTTATCTTTATGTGGTGTGGCCGGTACCCCCCTATTCACCCATAGGGCTTCCTTATGTCAGCGTTTGGAGGAGTGTGGGATTCGCATGGCGGATGTGTATATGAAGTTAATGTCTGTATTTTGGGAGACTTTTCTTAGTGGGCTCGGGTTGGGAGATGGGCTAAATTCTTTGGCCATTTATTTTTGTTCGATTCACATTAATTATCTGATCTCGGGATGTGGCTTTTGTTACACCGACAGTGTACTCCAGTGTTGTTCTCATTGTTTGTTTGCCGTAACGGTTTCCTGGGTTTCTATCTTTTGGTTGTCGGGAGGTGTATCGAGTCCATTTGTGTCATTTGGCTTATAAGGTGAAGGGGTTGTACCCGTTGCTGGATTGGGTGGCAGTGTGGGATTCTCACCCCTAAACAGAGGGAATTGTTGTATTGGTTTCTCGACGAAACTCTGGCGAAAAATGCCCGGTTGTTTATTGCTGGGTATTGTGGTTTCTGATTGTTGTGCCCTTTGAGGGGGAATGTGAGTCCCAACTCCATGTCTTTTACTTCTGTGGGAATGTTTCTAGGCTGGTGGACCGGCTTCCGGGTACCAATGTTACCTTCTGTGGGTCAGATTTGCAGGTCGATTTGTTATGGTTTTTCTTCTTGTCGTTTCCGAGGGGGTATTGTAAAGTGCGGAAAACATTAGGGGTGTTGATGGCTAATTATTTTTATTGTGGGTAGATCGGTTGGATAGCAATGATGTGCCTCGGATTTTGGAGTTCTTGCATGGTCGGCTGCACTATATGATGTGTTGTTTACACCGGTCGTTTCCGGGATCCTTGCTCGGTGGTTCACGCGGCATATGTCGCTGCAGCTTCAGTGGTGTAGGGTCATGCAAGCATCGGCATCCAACATTGTCCTGTATTCTTGGCTTGAGGTTTGGGGCGGCGGCTTCCCTACTGTATGTATGTGTGCGTTTCTTCTCTACACTTGCTTTGGTGTGGATGTGTTCCGTGTTGTGTACTCACCCACCTAGTTGTGCTTGCGGGGGTTGAGCTCTGGCTCTTTGGTCCCGCTTTGGTGTGTGTGTGTGTGTGTGTGTGTGTGTGTGTGTGTGTGTGTGTGTGTGTGTGTGTGTGTGTGTGTGTGTGTGTGTGTGTGTGTGTGTGTGTGGTCTTATTGTTGTAAGCATTTTTGTTTGGTTAGTGCGTTGGCGTCTGTACTCCTGTTGGGCGGAGTCCAACGTGGCTTAATTATGTTCTCTGCTTATTTTTATTGTCCCTTTTGTTTTGGGCCTTCAGTGTGCGTGTGCTCTGAAGCAAGGTTTGGGGGTGTCTCTCCTTTCTTGTTCGCTTTGCCTAGATTGTGAGTGTTTGTGTGTGTTATGCAGTTCTTCCTTTGGAATGGGTTCATTCTGGTCTTGTGTGTGTCTCTTTCCTTTGGCCGAGGTCAGTTGTATTATATAATGTATCGGTTGGACTGATGTATGTTAGTTGTTTTACCAGTACCCGTGTTGGGTGCTTTTTTGTTTTATTTTATGCCATGTGTTATTGATCGGTTTATTGGTGGTAACGGGCTCCGGTTTATTGGTGATAACGGGCTCCGGTTTATTGGTGGTAACGGGCTCCGGTTTATTGGTGGTAACGGCCTCCGGTTTATTGGTGATAACGGGCTCCGGTTTATTGGTGGTAACGGGCTCCGGTTTATTGGTGGTAACGGGCTCCGGTTTATTGGTGGTAACGGGCTCCGGTTTATTGGTGGTAACGGGCTCCGGTTTATTGGTGGTAACGGGCTCCGGTTTATTGGTGGTAACGGGCTCCGGTTTATTAGTGGTAACGGGCTCCGGTTTATTGGTGGTAACGGGCTCCGGTTTATTGGTGATAACGGGCTCCGGTTTATTGGTGGTAACGGGCTCCGGTTTATTGGTGGTAACGGGCTCCGGTTTATTGGTGGTAACGGGCTCCGGTTTATTGGTGGTAACGGGCTCCGTTTGTTGGGGGCCTTGTGTGTGTTATGTTTCCTTAGTATGTCATATTCCCTGTCTATGATCAGTGATATTTTATATTCGGTTCATTAGTTCTGTATTTATATGTTCTATATGTATAGGGTCTGTATTTCTATGTTTATTTTATATGGGTGGTACTAATTATGTTCTTGCGGTACCTTCTTGGTGCTCCACTTGTGGGGTTCGGTGTACCGTTTGTGTGCTGTACCCTGGTAAGGTCTACATAAGTAGGTAACGAACATTCCCAGAGATACTTATAGCCGAGTCTAAGCCGAGCAGTATTAACATCTAGCAGTCTGCTGATTATATTCAATGATCCATAGATGTGTGGCTCTTCGTGCTTGATAACATTTAAATAAAATAACAGTTTAAATAATTAAAAGTTCACAAAGTACAAAATGGGGCTTAATACCAATTAGCGATGAGAGTAACACGTTTACTGAATAATATTTACATCTGATGATGTAAATCAGATGCAAATATTGATTTTCATGATATTTACAAATTAATGTAAATATGGTGAGCTATCAATATTTACATCTATTGCCGACAAAATTCTGATGATAATTACGTTAGGGCAAGACTCTTCAACATTTGAAACAATAACTAGCAACACTGCAAGTTCCTCTCCACTGCTAACTAATACTTTCTTGAGGCACCACATGTAAGGTCTTCAGGCACCACATGTAAGGTCTTCAGGCACCACATGTAAGGTCTTCAGGCACCACATGTAAGGTCTTCAGGCCACCACATGTAAGGTCTTCAGGCACCACATGTAAGGTCTTCAGGCCACCACATGTAAGGTCTTCAGGCACCACATGTAAGGTCTTCAGGCACCACATGTAAGGTCTTCAGGCACCACATGTAAGGTCTTCAGGCACCACATGTAAGGTCTTCAGGCACCACATGTAAGGTCTTCAGGCCACCACATGTAAGGTCTTCAGGCACCACATGTAAGGTCTTCAGGCCACCACATGTAAGGTCTTCAGGCACCACATGTAAGGTCTTCAGGCCACCACATGTAAGGTCTTCAGGCACCAAATGTAAGGTCTTCAGGCACCACATGTAAGGTCTTCAGGCACCACATGTAAGGTCTTCAGGCACCACATGTAAGATCTTCAGGCCACCACATGTAAGGTCTTCAGGCACCACATGTAAGGTCTTCAGGCCACCACATGTAAGGTCTTCAGGCACCACATGTAAGATCTTCAGGCCACCACATGTAAGGTCTTCAGGCCACCACATGTAAGGTCTTCAGGCACCACATGTAAGGTCTTCAGGCACCACATGTAAGGTCTTCAGGCCACCACATGTAAGGTCTTCAGGCACCACATGTAAGGTCTTCAGGCACCACATGTAAGGTCTTCAGGCACCACATGTAAGGTCTTCAGGCACCACATGTAAGGTCTTCAGGCACCACATGTAAGGTCTTCAGGCACCACATGTAAGGTCTTCAGGCACCACATGTAAGGTCTTCAGGCACCACATGTAAGGTAATCAGGCACCACATGTAAGGTCTTCAGGCACCACATGTAAGGTCTTCAGGCACCACATGTAAGGTCTTCAGGCACCACATGTAAGGTCTTCAGGCACCACTTGTAAGGTCTTCAGGCACCACATGTAAGATCTTCAGGCACCACATGTAAGGTCTTCAGGCACTAATGTAAGGTCTTCAGGCACCACATGTAAGGTCTTCAGGCACCACATGTAAGGTCTTCAGGCACCACATGTAAGGTCTTCAGGCCACCACATGTAAGGTCTTCAGGCCACCACATGTAAGGTCTTCAGGCAACCACATGTAAGGTCTTCAGGCACCACATGTAAGGTCTTCAGGCCACCGCATGTAAGGTCTTCAGGCACCACATGTAAGGTCTTCAGGCACCACATGTAAGGTCTTCAGGCACCACATGTAAGGTCTTTAGGCCACCACATGTAAGGTCTTCAGGCACCACATGTATGGTCTTCAGGCTCCACATGTAAGGTCTTCAGGCCACCACATGTAAGGTCTTCAGGCACCACATGTAAGGTCTTCAGGCCACAACATGTAAGGTCTTCAGGCACCACATGTTAGGTCTTCAGGCCACCACATGTAAGGTCTTCAGGCACCACATGTAAGGTCTTCAGGCCACCACATGTAAGGTCTTCAGGCACCACATGTAAGGTCTTCAGGCACCACATGTAAGGTCTTCAGGCCACCACATGTAAGGTCTTCAGGCCACCACATGTAAGGTCTTCAGGCCACCACATGTAAGGTCTTCAGGCCACCACATGTAAGGTCTTCAGGCACCACATGTAAGGTCTTCAGGCACCACATGTAAGGTCTTCAGGCACCACATGTAAGGTCTTCAGGCACCACATGTAAGGTCTTCAGGCACCACATGTAAGGTCTTCAGGCACCACATGTAAGGTCTTCAGGCACCACATGTAAGGTCTTCAGGCACTAATGTAAGGTCTTCAGGCACCACATGTAAGGTCTTCAGGCACTAATGTAAGGTCTTCAGGCACCACATGTAAGGTCTTCAGGCACCACATGTAAGGTCTTCAGGCACCACATGTAAGGTCTTCAGGCACCACATGTAAGGTCTTCAGGCACCACATGTAAGGTCTTCAGGCACCACATGTAAGATCTTCAGGCACCACATGTAAGGTCTTCAGGCACTAATGTAAGGTCTTCAGGCACCACATGTAAGGTCTTCAGGCAACACATGTAAGATCTTCAAGCACCACATGTAAGGTCTTCAGGCACCACATGTAAGGTCTTCAGGCACCACATGTAAGGTCTTCAGGCCACTACATGTAAGGTCTTCAGGCACCACATGTAAGGTCTTCAGGCAACACATGTAAGATCTTCAAGCACCACATGTAAGGTCTTCAGGCACCACATGTAAGGTCTTCAGGCCACCACATGTAAGGTCTTCAGGCCACCACATGTAAGGTCTTCAGGCACCACATGTAAAGTCTTCAGGCACCACATGTAAGGTCTTCAGGCACCACATGTAAGGTCTTCAGGCAACACATGTAAGATCTTCAAGCACCACATGTAAGGTCTTCAGGCACCACATGTAAGGTCTTCAGGCCACCACATGTAAGGTCTTCAGGCACCACATGTAAGGTCTTCAGGCCACCACATGTAAGGTCTTCAGGCCACCACATGTAAGGTCTTCAGGCACCACATGTAAAGTCTTCAGGCACCACATGTAAGGTCTTCAGGCACCACATGTAAGGTCTTCAGGCACCACATGTAAGGTCTTCAGGCACCACATGTAAGGTCTTCAGGCCACCACATGTAAGGTCTTCAGGCCACCACATGTAAGGTCTTCAGGCCACCACATGTAAGGTCTTCAGGCCACCACAAGTAAGGTCTTTAGGCCACCACATGTAAGGTCTTCAGGCACCACATGAAAGGTCTTCAGGCACCACATGTATGGTCTTCGTTCACCACATGTAAGGTCTTCAGGCCACCACATGTAAGGTCTTCAGGCACCACATGTAAGGTCTTCAGGCACCACATGTAAGGTCTTCAGGCACCACATGTAAGGTCTTCAGGCACCACATGTAAGGTCTTCAGGCACCACATGTAAGGTCTTCAGGCACCACATGTAAGGTAATCAGGCACCACATGTAAGGTCTTCAGGCACCACATGTAAGGTCTTCAGGCACCACATGTAAGGTCTTCAGGCACCACATGTAAGGTCTTCAGGCACCACTTGTAAGGTCTTCAGGCACCACATGTAAGATCTTCAGGCACCACATGTAAGGTCTTCAGGCACTAATGTAAGGTCTTCAGGCACCACATGTAAGGTCTTCAGGCACCACATGTAAGGTCTTCAGGCACCACATGTAAGGTCTTCAGGCCACCACATGTAAGGTCTTCAGGCCACCACATGTAAGGTCTTCAGGCAACCACATGTAAGGTCTTCAGGCACCACATGTAAGGTCTTCAGGCCACCGCATGTAAGGTCTTCAGGCACCACATGTAAGGTCTTCAGGCACCACATGTAAGGTCTTCAGGCACCACATGTAAGGTCTTTAGGCCACCACATGTAAGGTCTTCAGGCACCACATGTATGGTCTTCAGGCACCACATGTAAGGTCTTCAGGCCACCACATGTAAGGTCTTCAGGCACCACATGTAAGGTCTTCAGGCCACAACATGTAAGGTCTTCAGGCACCACATGTTAGGTCTTCAGGCCACCACATGTAAGGTCTTCAGGCACCACATGTAAGGTCTTCAGGCCACCACATGTAAGGTCTTCAGGCACCACATGTAAGGTCTTCAGGCACCACATGTAAGGTCTTCAGGCCACCACATGTAAGGTCTTCAGGCCACCACATGTAAGGTCTTCAGGCCACCACATGTAAGGTCTTCAGGCCACCACATGTAAGGTCTTCAGGCACCACATGTAAGGTCTTCAGGCACCACATGTAAGGTCTTCAGGCACCACATGTAAGGTCTTCAGGCACCACATGTAAGGTCTTCAGGCACCACATGTAAGGTCTTCAGGCACCACATGTAAGGTCTTCAGGCACTAATGTAAGGTCTTCAGGCACCACATGTAAGGTCTTCAGGCCACCATATGTAAGGTCTTCAGGCACCACATGTAAGGTCTTCAGGCACCACATGTAAGGTCTTCAGGCACCACATGTAAGGTCTTCAGGCACCACATGTAAGGTCTTCAGGCACCACATGTAAGGTCTTCAGGCACCACATGTAAGATCTTCAGGCACCACATGTAAGGTCTTCAGGCACTAATGTAAGGTCTTCAGGCACCACATGTAAGGTCTTCAGGCAACACATGTAAGATCTTCAAGCACCACATGTAAGGTCTTCAGGCACCACATGTAAGGTCTTCAGGCACCACATGTAAGGTCTTCAGGCCACCACATGTAAGGTCTTCAGGCACCACATGTAAGGTCTTCAGGCAACACATGTAAGATCTTCAAGCACCACATGTAAGGTCTTCAGGCACCACATGTAAGGTCTTCAGGCCACCAC